ATAGCAATTCCAAGCAGTCCAAACAATTCTGGAGAATGTCAAAGGCAGAGTTTCTAATTTAAGGGACCACATAATGGGCTACAAGGTTTCATTCAGATTTCTGAGGCTCCATCAAGCACAATATTGGAGGATAGATTTGAAAAGGTTATTCATCAAGTCTCTCACTCACACCTGGAGGTTCTCCTGTGGAGAATGTCTCCAGTGCAGTCATTTTTCACAAGGACAGCCTCTCTAGCCATGGAGAGAAGAGGCTGAGGAACTCCATAATAGAAATGTCATTTCTTCAACCTGGAAACAGTACACCAAGAGGATGAAGGACATCAGCTGTAGGAGAAAGGTGAGTGGTAATAAATTGTTAGGTGCCAACATCCCCACTATGCCTCTCCCCAGCATTCTCCATTCTCTCCAAGCACCTCACAGTCCTACTTCAGCAACGAGAACTCAGACTCACTCTCTGCCTTTGCCTTTTCACACTCATCCTTCACAGTCAATCTCCGCAAATGGTATACTTCTCCTTTCTCAACACAAGACATCAACAACACTGTTATGACCGAGGTAGAGAGATAAACTGATTACTTCCTCAGGTCACTTTTTGACTAGTCACATCAGGTACAGAGCCAGGTGCCTTTAACAAACAAGGAACTCGTTTATTGCAAACAATATTCCCTCAAGCAAAGGTGTAAAGATTATGAACAAAAAAGTTTAAACTGCAAATTTATACAACCTTTCTCAGAAAACAAAACATATACACATACATACTGACACAAACTCTCCAAATCTGTAAAAATATAAAACTCTGCAGAGTAGTATCTTCAAAATACTTTGGCTAAGTAATAATTGCATTCAGAAAAAGGAATTATTCACAGATTATCCAAATGTTGGTCTGTTGCTGAAGTGACTTTGCCCCCAAATTGTTGACACTGAGATTTCATTATGTATCAGGCATGAATAACTGAATTATTTTGATCTGGGAGATATGTTAGCTCTTATAACATGACATATGGGTAACACAGTATTGAAGAATTCAATGAATTTTTATTACAGCATCTGGTATCTACATACGTACATTACAATCACAAGCACTTACATGTCTGGGCTCCATTCAGGTGTATGGCATCATACTTCCTTCAATGTATCATACTGCAACAGGAAAAAAAAGCTCAGGAAGATGGAAACTGAGAACTGTCCACCATTAGATCACATGTCATGATATGGTGATAACATCGCAAGTCCCTTACAGGTATATTTCATATCTGTTGCAAGATATAACACAACAAAAGGGATCATACAGGTGAAGATTGTCTGAATTAAAGGGAAATGACAAGGCAATAGTCCAAGCTAGCAATAAAGATAATGATAATCAATGTATGGCAGCAAGGGACAGCGACTGGAATTTTGAGTGTCCCAGCACAAAGGGTCAGAGCTTAAAAAAAACTGAAGTAATTGCTCTGTATCTGAGTGCCCACAGTATTCCAAACATAAGATAAATTATCAGCTCCAATACAAATTCACATATTTGAACTGATAACCATTACAAAGATGTTGATATAGGAAACCAAAGCCGGGATCTGAATATCCAAGGACATGTCACATTCAACAATACAGAAAGCTGGGACAAGTTGGTGGGTAGCTCTGTTAATTAGAAGGCATTATTACAGTTGTGAGAGATACCTTTAGCTTTGAAGTTCAGGATATAGAATCAGTTTGAGTGATATTAAGAAAAAAATAAGAGGCACAACACTTTAGTGAGATTTATTTATAGGTCAACAAACAATGATGATATAAATCACAATAATAATCTGGAGATTATAGGTGTGAGTAACAAGGTTATTACAGTAAATGTAGGGATTTCAATTTACATATAGACTTGATAAATTTAATTAGTACTAATATTGTGGAGGATGATGCTTGGAATATATGAGAGAGAGTTTCCTAGAACTGTACATTGAGGAACAAACTAACAAATAGGTTATTTTTGATCTAGTATTGTCCTGTGACAAGGGGCTAGTTAATAATCTTGTAAAGGAACCTTTAGGAAATAATGGCCTAAATATGATAGCATTTTTATCTAATTTTGAAAGTGATGGAGTTAGTCAGGAACCAGGATCTTAATGATAAACAAAAGAAACTATAAACCTATGAGGAACAAGTCAGCTATGGTGGTTTAGGAAACTAAATTAAAAGGTCTGATGTTAGACAGGAAAATACTAACATTTAAAAAACAAATATTAATCTTATTACAGTATTGATCTACAGGTTCCAGGCCATATGTAAGCAACTAAATATTTGTTATGATCAAATTAGAGAAGTGAACTGTTCCCCTTCTTATTCGTATGTTGACACTGGTCACAGCAAAGCTTAGATTTAAAAATGGGGGTTGATATTGCCAATTATATACGATTGGTTTTAGCTCAGAATCAGGTCCAAGTTAGCAAAGTTTACTTAGTAACAAATAAAGAACTAGATTATTGCAAACAAATCTTATCTAAGCAAGCGGGTGAAGATTATTAGCAAATGATTTAAAATGTGCAACCACCCTTCTTGGAAAATAAAAAAAAACACAGACACACACTCCAACAAGCTTATCTTCAAAGTATTTTGACCAAGTAACAGTTAGATGCAGATAATTACTTACAGATTGTACTAAATGTCCGTGTTAGCCAAAGTCACCTTTTACACAAGCTGTTGACACTGTGATTTCTTCCTGAATCAGACATGACTGGCTGTGAGGAGACAGTGGTGGTAGATTTTGGATTCTCCTTTGGGAGGTATCAGTTTCAATGAATATTTCTCCCTTTATGTTTGTGGTGATGCTAACTTCCAGTGTTTTCAACTCATAAACCTTGACGAGAAGGGTTTCAGAAAAAGAGAATAGGAAGGAGAAGGAACTCTTGCTTTTCCTGAAATGCATTTATGATCTAGATCTTGGTGTGCAGGAGACAATTTCAAAGTTTGCAGATGAAACAAAACTTCAAAATACTGTAAAATGTGAGAAGGACAGTTTAGAGCTCCACAAGGACAGAGGCATGTTGGTGGAATGGGTGGGTAGTTTTCAATGCAGAAAAGTGTGAGATGATACATTTTTGTCGGAAGAACACTGAAAGACAATATAAAATATGGTGTGGAATTCTAAAGGAGTGCAGCAGCACAGGAATCTTGGTGATTAAGTGTATAGATCATTGAAGGTGACAGGATAGGTAGAGAGAGCAGTAAGTAAAGTATACAGTCTTGGGCTACAGTATCCTTGGCTTTATTGATTGAGGCATAGTGTATGAAAGCAAGGAGGTGAAGTTGAATTTGTACAAAACACTTGTTAGAACTCAGGTGGAATATTGCATACAGTTCAGGATGCCACATTATAGGACGGACGCATATACGTTGGTGAGCATTCAGAAATGATTTACAAGAATGGTTCCAGAAATGAGAAATTTCAGTTGTGAGAATTGATTGAAGAAATTGGAACTGTTCTTCTTGGAGAGAAAAATGGTAAGTGGAGATTTCACAGTGGTTTTCAAAATCATGAGGGAGCTAGATAGAGTAGATATGGAGTAATTGACCCCTCTTCTAAAATAAACAATAACACGAAGACAAAGATTTAAAGTGATTTGCATAAGAAGCAGGGGTAGTGTAAGAGAAAGCATTTTCACTCAGCAAGTTGGATGAACACAGCAGGCCAAGCAGCATCACAGGAGCAGAGAGGCTGACGTTTCGGGCCTAGACCCTTCATCAGAAAAG